AGACGGTACGTTGGTCTTTCTCCGGTGATAGGAGTGGAGATAACAGTACCATAGGTATGGGGGGCTTCGCCTGTTTGAGATGCTGGTCCTTCGGGTTGAACGACCAGCACGTCGCCGAGAGAGTACGGAGTGGGGTGTTCTGATGTGTCCAGAAGTGATAAGAGGAATCCGCCGTCGTTGAGCAGCTCCGGCCAGTGGGTTCGAACCTGTCGATGGGGAGCTAGGGAGTAATCTGCGACAACACTGAATTGGCAGGTTTCCGGGGACCAGAAAAGCATTCCATTGGAGTCCTTACTTCGTCCCAAAGCAATACCGGGGAAAGTCTTGGACTGAAACTTGCTTCGCCCAACTGGTTTGCCCGATACGTAGTCGCGATCGCGCATGAAGTACCCAACACTGCCGAATGGGAACAAGGTACGGAGATCCGGTTGTTGTTCAAAGAAGAGCTCAAACGGAGTGGCGTATCGAGTCGTTCCATCTTCGTTCTTTCCAACGTCTAATGGAATCATGTTCATTCGCTCGAATGCTGTGCGAACTGCCCAAAACCAAAACTTCCGAGGCAGATTGGCCTCTTGAAGGTAAGCTCGAGCCATTGCCACTGCTGTACCCCAGTTTCGTTCGACTAAACCGTTCTGGGACTGGCGATAGGGGACAGAGGAGAGTGTTCGAATGTTTCGACTTTGCAACAATCGGCGAACTTCGCCCCGAATCAACTTTGGATCAAAATCTGTCAGCATACGGCAACACGTTTCAGCCCGTTTGGGTCCCATGTCGACGAAGAGCTGGCGAAATGCTTCGGCCAAGGTGGATCCGCTGGTATCACGAAGCCCATAGCAAAAGCTCTGACGGGATCCGGCGTCAACCACTACCAAGCAGTATCGATGGCCGCCGGGAGATACATCATCACCGAAACCAATGTCCACACAAATTGTGTGGCCGGGTGGTGGGATTTTAGATTGCTTGCCGCGTCGTCCGCGACGTACATTGACGAAATCGCCAATGGAAGCTGGGGTCTCTCCGAAATTGGCCACTTTACCGCCTTTGCAACAGTTTGCCAGGGTTTTCCAATCGTTGAAGGTGCGATTGCCAAAGAGACGATGGAGTTCGTCGTTGGAGAAACGCTTTGTGGCTGGGGAAGCCGAGTTGGGGACGTACTCGGATGTCGCGATTGCTGTCGCGATTATGTAGGTCTTGCTCGAGGGGTGAGCGTGCATTAACCGTCTCCTGATTCTGGGGAAATGCAAGGAATCGTCGAGGTCCCTTGCTGGGTTGACTTTGAAAGGCGAATCCTAAGCCTGGTGTGCTTGTCACAAGGTTTGCCTTGAGGTGAAGTGGATCCGTCGACGCAGTCAAGCGACTGGCTACGAAATCGGGTGTACTACCGGGTGAAGCTGGGCTTGTGGGAATCAAACAGTCTTCGGAATCATCGATGTGGATGTTGAACGACGGATACCCTAGAATGCACTCGTCATAGGATGCGAGGAAGAAGGCTTCAGGGTGGAGTCGGCGATGAACACGTACTGATTTCAGACGCATTGCCGCTTCCGGAACGTGGAGCCAGTCGTGTTCTTCCACAAGTTTTGTATCGAGGACGAGTCGAACGGTACCCTTCCCCGCAACTTTCATGCGTGCTCCGTTGGCACAGTCGAGGAACATGTGCTGGACCGGTTCGTAACTAACAAAGTCTGTACGATTTGGACTGATTGAGAAGGTGGCACCCGAGTCGATACACGTGGACTCCTTCAAAGCTGCTGCATCCTGAGCGGAGTACGAGGACGCGATGTAGCGCCGTGGTAATGAGATCAAAGCCTTTCCGTCGAGGGTGTACGGCAGTATGGTTTCCGCAAAGGCGTCCGATGACAGCACCGATGATGGAAAGAGTGATCGAGATTCGAAACGGGGAAGAGGCTCAACGTCAACTTCAGTTGGCGGGCTATTGGTTAAGTCTATTTCATCGTCATCCTCTGCGCCTGGGTGCATTGTCTCCTTCGTTGAGGGAAGGTCCGAAACGCAAACAGGTGAGACTGTGCGATCGGTGACGACAATGGACACAGAGGAGTCCCATGAAACGGACTTACCGCTAGCGGATGCGTTGCCTTCAGAGGCAGAGTCGTATTCTTCATCAGAAGGAGGCTCTGGCTCTACAGGAGCTGGCGCCAATGCTGGAGTGGATGAATCGGTACTGCTTCGACCACTACGTCTCGCGGAACGACCTCGAGATTGAGAGCGCGCTTGGTTCGCAGTGCCGTTGGATGGTCTGTTTCCAGATGAAGGTGCATTGGAGCTTGGTTGGTAGGCAACCGAAGTGTTGTTGGGAAGCTTTGTGCAGTCCGAGAGAAAATGCCACTGGGCATTCCGCGTTTCCTGTCGTTCGCACAGGTGAAACGGACATGCAAATTTGCGATGAACCTCGTTCACTTGGGCATCGGACGCGGCACCGCCGTTTGCCTCCTTGAACTGCAGAAGAACATCTCGTAATGCGCCCTCTCCACGAGCGACACTGATTGTGATGTTTCCGCTGTTTGCCGTGCCTGAAGTGGCAGAACGTGCTCGGCCCACGGACGAAAGTTTGACATCAGGGCCGATAGGCGTGAACGGAACTACGGACTGGGCTTTGTGAAACTTTCCCTCCTTGTAAATGCCAACTGCAGGGGTGCGAAACACGAAGTCCAGGGCCTCTGCCAACTCTATGGCGGTAGATCGTCCAGTGACGGACTTGGAGACTTGATCCATCGGGGTGTATGTGATTCGTTGGCTTTGCTGCAGCTTCTTGAACACCGGGGCCCAGAGAGTATCGCGGAAAGGACCGTTTCGGACTCCATGAAGGAATCCGTCACGAATCGCGTTGGAACACACTGGACGTTCGGTGCACTGTTGGAGCTTCAAGGCATTCCGCTCAACTCGTGCAAGGTATCGACTTGGGAGTTCACAAGGACCTTGGACGGTATGGTAAACTTCTTTGAACCAAGCGTCAACGTGGGCTGGGGATGCAGGAATCAACTCGTCAAAGATAGCGGTAAGTAACTCTGGACCTTGACCACGCAGAGCAGGACGACGTTCAAGTAGCCCTTGAAGTCCCGAGTGTCCTTGGTTTCCATTGATCAGATGAGTCGCGAAGGCTTGGCTGATGTGAATGGCTATATTGCTGGTCGTGTCAGTTTCGGTGCACTCACTGATACAGATTGTCTGGACGACGTTGTCGACGATAGATTCGTAGGACCACCCAGGTCCATTGATGACATTGCGGGTCTTGGTTTCCCAATCCCACATCTTGGCTGGAGACGCCTCTGTAGGAAGAGGGCAAGTCTCGAGGTTCCCTCGAAGCGTTGCTTTCTGCTGAAGCACATTGCTCTCGTGTTGCATGACCTGTAGGCGGACAAGTGCATTGCCTGTGTCGCCAGCAGCGATCGAACTGACATCCACGCTGGGCCCACTTGGGGTAACGACAGAACCAACGTGGGTGAAGTCATTGGTGTGACCGTGGACCGATTCCGTGACGTGGCTGATGGGAGACAATCGAACCGAAGCTGGTGGTGGTGGAAGCTTGATGGGAGGTGCCGGTGCTGCTGGAGCTGGTGCTGGAGCGGGAGGCAAAGCTGCGTACAGACTTGGAAGAATCGCAGATGGATCGCGGAGGAATCGGAAGTAATCGTCGCGAAGGAGGAACTGATGAGGGATCCGACTGTAGGTGCCCGCTGGACAGCGGCCCATGGACCGAAGGTGTGCCAAGGCGGAGTTGATGGAGGGAAAACCAGAAGGCTGCGTAGACGGGCAGCCGACAGATGCAGCCCAGGCCTCGCCAGGCAGCTCCACAACGAAGTGGACTCCGAGTCCAGTATTGTGATCCCATCCATTGACGGGAAAAGCCAGGGCTTCGGAGGAAGTTCGGAGAAGGGGGGTGTTAGAATAACATGGAATTAGGGAGTCTGCACACACAACAATCAACCGTCTTATTTTAGCAGGTTATGATGCCCACATGGCGCTTCCTCCCCTGTCCCAGTCCAACAGTTGGAGTCCCCGTGCATGCTATTTTTTCGGGGATGACAGGGATGTCATAATTCTGTGACGGGTGCAGATAGGGCAACAGATCCCGATCTTCTAATTCCGAGTCGTTACCCATCCAGGGGGTTCTACCAATCGACCGTGGCCTTCCCATGAGACGGCTCCTCCCGGCGCAATTGAGGGGGGTGTTAGAATAACATGGAATTAGGGAGTCTGCACACACAACAATCAACCGTCTTATTTTAGCACCCCGAAGTGCTTTACTCTGGACCGTCCGACGTTTCTCACTCAGGCTTTAAAACTTGACACGACTGACTCCAGTACAATTAGGGGCTTGTTTTCTAAGGGCTTGTTTAAGGGCTTGTTGAAGCTTTAAGGGTTTGTTTTAAGGGCTTATTTATTTAAGGGCTTGTTTGCTCCTGATAAGGGCTTGTTCTATGGGGTTTACATGAAGGCTTAAGGGTTTGTTTTGAGAACTTAAGGGCTTGTTGTTAAGGGTTTGTTTTTTAAGGGCTTGTTTAAGGGCTTGTTGAAGATTTAAGGGCTTGTTTAAGGGCTTGTTTCCAGTCGTGGAAATTTGAAGTTTTTCAAAATCCTGAGTGAAAAACGTCGGACGGTCCTGGGGTCCACCACAGTCCCAGTTCTGCAGCCTAGCGGCCTTGGGAGGGAGTGGTGGGAGCCGATTAAACTAGACTATTCCATTGTGATGACTTGAATATTGTGGTGGAGCTGTGGCTCCTCTGTGGTTAGGTCTGTGTGGGGCTATGAGCCCATTTCAAGCATATCCACTCTGCGCGTCAGCCTAGAAACGCAGGCTGCTTACAAAAAAATGAGACAGTCTGGATCAGCTGCCAATAATCTTTCTTCTGGTTGACGTATGCTACGCCTACGTTGAATTACTCTCTCTTGGTGTTGTCGTGAGAAAGCTTCCTCTCTACGTGTAGCTACAGTAGCTAGCTAGAAGCTAAAGTTGGTTTATCGCTATCACTGTTCTTATTAAAATATTTGAGTTTTTGATTTAGTCGTCTATTTTGTGAATGTTATCCTGCCTAGCTATTATTAATAGTACCTCAATTTGGTTTTTGTGGTTTCTTTCTCCCTGACCTAGCTAGCTTTAGCTAGAGCTCATCGCTCCTGAGGTACTTTCGAACCCCTTGAATCCTCTCTTTTCCGTGCCGCACCACCCGTTGCAGGTTGCGTCGCTTAACCAGTTGAACTGATGTACTGATGTCTACTTGGTTGTCATTGTCTCGATTCATGAGCAAGCGCTTGACTCCGAGACGTCTTGGCGGCTGAACATTACGAAGGAACTTGGAGTTCCGAATATCAGGAAGGTTGTAGTTGTGGGAAGCCTTGCGCTGAGTTCCTTCCTTCGAGACTGCATCGGTAACCTTGGACAAGGCCTGATGCCAGCGCAATGCGTCGCTGCCCGAATGTCGCTTTCTTAGTCCCAACAAGTGGAGAAGCGCAGGGGCTCCGTTGCTTTCTAGTTCCACCACGACTCTTTCCATCTCCTCCAAGACATCTTCTGGTTCAAGCGAAGGCGTCAGGACGATGGAAATGCTTTGCAGCAAATGCAACCTCTGATTGATCGCGTTCTGCGCACTTGATCCATCCAGAATCCGTGGATACTTTGTCGAGATCTCGTCGTTCCAAAAGATGACAAAGTCCGCGTGATCCCGTCGCAATGTCAACGCTGAATACTCGGCACTTTCCAATTTGCCGGCAAGTGAGTTGCAGAAAAAAGCCTCGACGTATCGTTCCAAGGACAGGTCAAAGCAGTGCCTCAGCACCTTGGTAAAGAAGTACCGGGGAATCCACTGAACCAGGTCCTCGCAGTAGTCTCCTAGCGTCGCATTCGTTCGCTGCACCGCTGAGATGCTTCCTTCGTTGATCCACAACTCTTCGTCACCGATCGTTGCCAAGGTGTCGTTCACGTCGAGCATGATACGTTCGCAGAGCTGCTTGGCAACAAACAAGGCGAGCTCAGTTAGCTCTCGGCACAAGTCCTCACCGCCTTGGATTTGGTCTGGATTGACAAGGTAGGTCGAGTTGCGTTCTTCACAGGCATCGCACACGCTCGAAACATCGTTGATGATGGCACACAAGAGTTCCACCGACATGTCTTTCCAGTTGGTGCCGACATACATCATACGTTCGCCAATGCTTGTCTGTAGCTCCTGGTTGCATGCTGCCACCACGTCCCCCAAGAACTGGGGCGGCAGACACGATCCTGTATCAATCTGCATGTTGTACATGAACTCGATATCCACATTGTACGCGGTGCGAAGGTCTCCTTGCTGGCTCACGAAGACATCGTCGTCGTGTGGCTGAAGCTTCAAACTCGACTGGAGATTCTCCCGCATGGTCGTGGACACGCCCTTTTCCAAATAGATTGTCACAAGGTTTCCAAGATGGTGCTCCCAGGGCCGCGACTTTAACAGCATTCCATTGGTTTGGCAGTCAATCATGGCAAGATAGCAACCAATCCAAGAGGCAACCTTGGCAGCGTCAGACGGTGTGGTGGTCGCATCAATGTGAAAAAAGAGAAAATGTTCTAGCCAATTCTCCAGCTGTCGTTGAGCCACACGTAGGATCGATCGCAGCACGTCCATTTCTTCAGTCTCAGCAGCTTCCTCCACAAGAAACTTGGTTCCCTCGACGAGTTCCTTGACCAAGGAGGCGCTACAACTGAGGACGCAATCGAGGTGTGAGCTCGTGCTGGCATTCTGCTGCTGTGATTCGCATTGATCGATCAGTAGCTCATTGAACTGCAGTCGAAAATGCTTACCCAAATCCTCCATCGTCTCGGAGAAGAGTTCTCCAATGACGACACCTGACGAGGAGTCGTCCTCATGCTTGTCCTGTTGCTGGCGAAACTTGCCAACCGAAGTTGAAATCAACAGTTCCAGCTTCGAAGGCTCACGAGGAGGAGAAACCAGTTCGGCACTGCTGTTATCATCATCATCCTCGCGTGGAGTCACCTCCTGTCCCTTGTGTAGAACCATCATCGTCTTCGAGGACACTGTCGGTAGCATCGCAACGGCGGCTGTCGTGGCTGACCGTGCCATGGTCGGCAATGCCCTTAGTCGCTTCTTCAAGTTCCTTGTTCCCTTCGTTCGAAACGGCGATCCCAAGGTGGATGCACCAATTCCCACAAGGGTATCTACAGCAGAACGTTTCTTGCGAATCGAGGTCATGTTGGTTGGCATTGTTTTCATCGTGATCGTCATGGTTGTTGGTTGCAATAGTCCTGTTGCTTCGACGAATACTGTAACGAAAGAGCTTGGACGTAACAACTAGTGCACTCGAGAATTTATGTGCGAGAGAAGTGAATGAATGAATGAGGCGACGAATGAGCTCATGATGAGCTTCGCTCGGCCTTGTCCATCAATTTATCGCAGCGTGGAAGCCATTTCCACGATGAGCTGTCTGAATCCGTCGACCATTCCCACGCCAGTCCTGAGACGTCAAGTGTACCGGTACTGGTACACCGGTACCGATGGCAGGGTGGGTTTACGATGAGTCGAGTCGAGCTCATCTTTGTGCCATGTCGCAATGATACCGGTACCACTATAGTCATGGCTACTATTAATAGCTATGCATAGAATTGGGAGCCTGTCTGCACAAACGCACGAAGCCAGGATCGTCCAACGGTTTTTCTGATTTTGTCCTTTAGAAAACAAAACGTGGAAAGCTACGAGGTCATTGCCCGACCGGTGCCGATCTATTTTGCTAATTTTTGAAAGTTGAAGAATGACTACATCGTAGCCTTAAAAATACCCTTTGGGGTTGGCACGTTGGCACCAATCAAACTAGGGAAACTCCGACATGTGGCTGGGACTATGATCTTGTGGAAATACCGTAGTGTAGTGAGGATGACGTACAAAGTCATCTTCATTCACAGCTGGTGAAAAGCTTGTTACGATGCGCTGATACATGTCAAACGTTGGTCTGATGCACTCTTCGGGATCACAGCATCATCTCAACCACAGACGAACAAAGGGTCTCACTACATGTAATGGACGAGGAGCCCCAGAATTGTCCCAACCAAAGCTCATTGCGTAAGCTGCGTTTGAGCTGATCGGAGCAAGTGTGAGTCCAACGTATACAGTCACGCTTAATCCACGATTTGATTCATACAGGAACCGCGTGGAGGTTTGGCGACACCTCAATGGCACTCTGATCTGGAACCAAAAAGTAACCCAGTTTGGCGTGCACCACAGTCGAATAGCCCATACACTACATCATAGCTGGAATAAGATAGAATACTCAGCACCATGAACGATCGAACGAATGAATTTATGTCGTTGGCCCGGAGCATGCCGAATGCGGGCGCCGCATCGATGCAAGCTCGAAGCCAATCCTCGGCATCGGACGGCACTAACAAAGCCAACAGTAATGTGGAACTGCGTCAATTCCACAAGACGGCGGCTGACATTTCTCGAGACATTGCGGCAACTTCTGCCATGCTTTCGGAACTGGCTCAGTTGGTTCGCAAGAAGTCCTTGTTTTTGGACGACACACAGCACATTAACAGTTTGGTGATGCGCATCAAGTCGAATGTGGAGTCATTGAATGGTCGTTTGGACGAAGCCGGGGCCGTCATTGCGCAGCAAAAGCGCAAATTGGGCAAGAACAGTCAGGCAGGACAAGAGGCTCTCAACGTGGTCGGACAGCTCAAGGAGGAATTTGGAGAAGCAGCGGCCGGATTCAAAAAGGTTTTGCAGCAGAGAACCGATACCATGAAAGAGACCACCGATATGAAAAGACAAGTCTATGGAGCCGACAATGACGACGATCCGGGCGATGTGCCCGTGCTCAACTTGGAAAACAAACCTCCCGTTTACTCCCACTCGCTCTCCACGCCCTTGGCAGGAGCGGGCATGAACAACAGCAACAACAACCTACAAGCACCCATGAGTTTCAACAATTTCCCTACTCTCGATTTGACCAGTGGCATGTCCGCTGGAGAGAGCAGTTCCAGTGCTTCCCAATTGCCAAGGCCTCGTAAGTTTATGTTTATATCAATCATGACATGCATGACTTTTTTATTCTACTTGTACTTATTCACCCTCTTTGTTTCTATTCCATTCAATTCTATTGTTTCTCAATCAGATGGAGCTTCTGCGTATGACACGGGCGCTTATGGAGTCCCTGGAAGTGGAATGCGTCTTCGACACTCCAACAGTGATCCCATGCCGCCAGCGTACTCGGGGTCATACTCCACCTACAACAATGCCGGCAATACACCTCTGACTCCATTGGATATTCAGCGCATGGAAACCGAAAGTGGACAGCAACAGCAGATGCAACTCATTCCCGATCAAGACTACTTGAGAGAACGCGCCGATGCCATGTCACAGGTCGAAACACAAATGGTAGAATTGGGAACCATCTTTAACAAATTGGCCGTCATGGTCTCGGAACACAGAGACATGGTCCAGAAGGTCGAAGACGATGTGGATGACGCAAACACAAACATCAACCTCTCGCTCAACACGCTCACCGATACTTTGCACAGTTTGCAGACCAATCGGGCACTCTTCTTCAAAATCTTGGCCGTACTGGTCGTTTTCATTATCGGTTTTGTCATCTTCTTGGCGTAATTTTTAAGAAGATTTCACTCCAAAAAGAGTACATGTAATGATTCAAGAAGCACAGAAGAACTATTAAAAAATTCCGCCAATTTTGGTGTACCGTCCTGTATTTAACACTCAACAAGAGAAAAAACATCATACTTTTGATTCAATCATTCATTCAAAGATAGAATTCCTTCCTCTGACACCGCATTCACATGCCATACCATACCACGATGGCAGGGGACGGAATAATTTCACACAATTTGGACAGATCAAGAATGTACCGGTACAGTAACCAGCCACCAAGAGCAACCTGCACGGTTGATGGGTTGCAGGTGGTGGCTACCGATTTGATTCGATTCATCTGATTCATCATTCGTTCTATCTCATGCCATACTGGCGTTCCCAGTTGGGTGCTAAGGTACGGTATTGGAACATCTAAATGTACCGGTACATGTACTGGTACGGAGAAGAAACGGAGACGTACGGTAGGAATTGGTAGCTTGAGATGCGGTAGCTCGCTCAAGAAGGGCGCCGGTAGCCATACCGTTCCGGCCTCTGAGGTCGTAGAAGCATTCCGTAAACTTTCATCTGGAATCGATGATTCGATTGAATCATTCAGACTAGAGAGATGAGATTGGTTGTCCGCGTGGTTTCTAGCTTTCGTTACCTGCTGCTACGTCTGCGAGTCATCGTTGGCAGGCAGCAGGGAGTTTATCATACCTCATTCCAGTCTGTGTATGTACATACAGGGTACCGGTAGATGTCATGCGCCCACGGAAACGGTTGGAAAACCAAGAAGAAGCCACAAACCAGGCATGGGGTTAAGCGTACAGTCGTACCACACCTGAAGAAAGCTTAGCACCCAGCCAAGCGGTGGCGGGTCCCCTGATCAAAACGCAAACAGCGACTCGGCTGAGGCTGACTCCCGCGCCCTTCTGAAAATTCGATGAGATCCACGTACCGGTCGCTAAAACTGCGTAGCCATGACGGAAGGAGTGAAGTCATAAGGTGTTATCTACAAATCAAATCCAGGCGTTGCATTCTGTATTCTTGCTCTAGAGTAGCTATGATACCTCTGTGGAAATAAAACAGAAGCATTCTCCTTGCGTGAAGGCGATAAACATGCCCGTGGCAAGGAGAAGCTTCGAGCCAAAATTTTCCACACACGGCTGAACGGTCGGGAAGCCCACTGGGTGCGCGACTGGGAGCCAACAGTCTTGTTACCAAACGATGCAGCTGATATCTTATCCTTCGTGGCTGGATAATGGATTCACACAACGCATTCCCAATGGAGGGATGCTCACAACTTTCGGCCTCGCGCAAACTGCTTCACACTACGAAATCTTTCTGGAACGGCCCCAAAGTAGACAGTGGTTCCGGGCCAAAGCAAAAGAGCATTAACAAGATCGACAGAGAACCTGAGTGGTTGGAGAGTCTTCATAATAAAGTTTTCGTCTGTTGGGGGTATTCTTGTGGTGTATACCAATACGATTTGCTTTGCTTTCCTAGTTAGACAATGCCACATCAACGAGGAGATCCCCATGGTTTCACTGCTCGAAATGCGCGTGCGGCTGTGCTAAGAGATTCCAGAGAGCCCCCAGCTCATTCTCTCCATCCTTCAGAGTTTCAAAGAAGGCGCTTCTTGGTTCACCATCCGTCTCCTGGTGGACAGCAACCACCTCATCCCTCCATGCATCCGGGAATGTACCATGGCTCTCATCCGCATTCTCCTGCTGGTTGGTATGGCAGTAGCGTCGCTACCAATTCGCCTCATCGAGTCCCAGGATCTTCCCTCTCGGTTGCCAGCAATGAGACCATGGTGGAAGAACCAGTCGTCAAGAAAGAGCCGGCTGTCACTCCAGACGCCAAGAAAACGCCCGCGACCGCGGATGAAGAAATGAGGAAGAAACAGGAAATCATCCATGAGGCTCTCAGGAGACACATGGACGACGATAACTCGATCGGGACCAATGAGGCGGATGCGGCTTCAGCATTGCTATTTGCAACGGCTGCCATGAGGAGAGCTGAACAACAAAAGGAGCAAGAAAAGCAGGCACAACAGCACAGCAGCAAAGTATCCGTGGCGGGGTCAACCAAGGCTGAGAGCCAGGGAGCTGAGGAAACGGAAGAAAAGGAACACGAGGATGAAGAAGAGGAAGAGGATGGAGAAGTCACTGCCACTTCGCAGGATGGAGGAGGAGAAGAAAAGAGAAAGGACGAGACCAATGAGTCAAGTGTACCACTAAAGAAAAGACGGAAACTCATGAACTTTCTTCGCAAGAAACCTGTCACCACAGCGACCACCGAGAAGCAACCTCTCCATGTTAGCCCCTTGCCAAGCCCTCAGGTCCGCTCTCGTGTCGCGGGCCACGAGTCTTCCGAAGAGACCTTGGAATCCAACTCACCTCGTAGGCACGCTGCCTCCTCATCTTCAACTTGCATGGACAACTCGTATGATGCAAAGGAAACGCACTGTCTGCACGACGGCTCCAAGATACAGAATGCTGCAGAGATTAGCCCGCCGCCGTCCCAAGTTGTCATTGAACACTTCCCCACGGTACTCCACCACATCTTGACGAACTCAGAATTCGCGGGAAGTGTCGTGCAATGGTTACCAGATGGGGAGGCGTGGAAGATAATTCGGTGGGATGCCCTTCGCCGTCAAGTCCTGCCAAAGTACTTTCCTCAGTTGAGGGATGAGGATGGAAAGATTGGGAGTTCCATTGACACCTTCTTGTGGCACTTGGCTGGCTGGGGGTTCGAAGAAATACAGGACGGTCCCGATGTTGGGGCCTACAAGAACAAGGTAAGCAGCGGCTGTGGGAATGGCGACTGAAGGAACCTTTTATAATCAGAGGTGCTCACATGGTGTTTTTGTTTCTTTCTTTTGCACGACTGCACCAGTTCTTCCGTAAGGACTCTGCACAGCTCTGTCGGCAAATGATGTCTGCTCACAAACAGGTTGAGCTGGAGTCTCCACGGGTCGCAAAGAAAACGCCAAGCACAATATCGGATAAGCTTCGAGAAGCATCTCAGCCTCATTCCATATTGCAGGTGCCATCGTTGGCATCAAGGTCGGAAAGCGAAGCTTGCTCGAAGGAGGTGGAGAAGGCAGCCCTGAAATGGAGGGAAGAGCAACTGAAGAGAGGAGCTATCCATAGCCCAACAGTCTCGTATCCTGCAATGGCTGGTAGACCAATGAGGCATCCCGAAACACCGATTTTTGTTAACTATCGCATGGCCGACATCGCTTATGCTGCGCCTGAAGGTTGGCAATACTTCCCTGAATCCCCTCTTGGAATGAGACATTTGGGATCTGGTGTAGCTGGATATGAGCAGCGAATGCTACAGCAGCAACGTTTTGAGTTCCCAAGATCTGCTGCCCTCCACGGTACACCAAGGGTCCAGTCCGGCCGGGGGGCTTTGAGGCTCCCAATTCCCAGTAAGGCCGGAATTGGGAACGCTGCGGGATCCATTCGAAGATCATCCTTCCCTGTGTCGAACCGAGGCAAGGGAAGCCGTCTGGCACCAGGTCTCCGTATTCCCATCGCCGCGACCAGTGAAATCATGCGTACTCGTGAAGTCAAACCAGCTTTTGAACCCGAGGATTCCGCTGGCATTGCGAAAGCGGGCGAGGAAGTTGCTGAAAGAGTGGCAGTGGCAGTTTCAAAGAAAACGAAGAGGAAACTACCACTCTCCGGCTCTAGTTCTGCTGCTAGCAAATCTGAAGCACCCAAGGAAAGTAAGACGCCTACAAAAGAGGAAGATGTATAAATCGTGGGGTGTAGGTCTTCTGCAGCGAAGATCGAGTTCTGCTGTTGCAACCAGG